TAAAGGATGGATAGGAATTCAGCAGGTGAAGAGAGAGGCAATAAGGTGCCAGCTGTGAAAACTGGATTTGGAGCCAGAGTTCAAATCAGGGCTCTGCTAGTTTAACCCATGTGGCCTTGAACAAGCTCTTGAATTTCTCTGGACCTCAGTTTCCTCATCTATAAAATGGCGTGGTTGAACTAGGTGATCTCTAAGGTCCTTACTGTTCTAATTCCTATGAAAACAATTTGAGTGAGAGAGGGCACCACGCTTGAACTTGCTGGCTCAATGCTGTCTGACTCAAAATAGCTCTTTCCCCACATCAGCATGGGAACAGTCAGTACCTGGTGGTAACTTGCTCTCTTGATGAACAAAGGAGCTGCTAAACTAGATCCCTTTTCTTTTTTTTCCTCTTGTAAATTCCATATTTCTAGGAGCCTTGAGTGATTACCCCATATTGTTACCAACACCCACTGAAGGAGCAAACCTAATTCATTCTAAATGTCTGTTGCTGCCTGCACAATTTCAAGCACATTAATTCACTTGGAAAGGCAGACTTTAAAAAAAAATTTTTTTATTTAAAAAAATTTTTTTTAGTTTCAGTTCATCCCAAAGTGAGTCACAGGAAGGTAAGTTTTTGATACATTAGACAAGTGGTGTTAAACTCAAATACAATGGGAGAAGGGAGGTAGAATAAATGATACATAAGAAACTTTGAGGCCATGGATTGACTTAGAAAACCACATATTTACATTGTCTATGCTCTATAGCATTTGTATTTATTTTGTCAAATATTTCCTAATTAAATTTTAACCTGGTTCTGCCCCAGTCAGGAGTGTTAAGGGCCATAAGCTCCTTCAGCATTAGACACACAAACCAGGTACCAGATTAGTCTTAGTGACCTTACCATAGATAATAGAGCATGACTCCTGCCAATGAACCCATCTATTCACTTCTTGTCAATGAGTTCCCTGGTAGGCCTACAGCTAAGAGCTGTTGCTCACTTCCTCCCATGCCTGATATCAGCCAGGAAGCTAATTGAGAAGGATTCCTAGGTTGGAATAAGGTTGTAGGGGGAGGTCCTGGAAGACGCACTGAAGAATTCCATGATTGCTGGATGAAACTCTGCTCTCCTTCCTAGAGCATTTTGTTTGCATATCGTTTACCCCAAAACCCCTTACTTTGGATTGTGCTTTTCTGTGGATGTATTCAATTGCTTACTCCTAGAAGACTGTAAACTTCTTGAGGACAGGGGCTATGTCATTTCTCATTTATCTGGCACTTTGGCATAGTGCCTTGTACCTATATAATCCATGACTTCCAAATCATAGGGAAGCAAATCCAGACTCACGTGGACCTGAGTTCAATCTTACAAATTTCTCAGTAGTTAAAACTCTCCTTTGGTCATAGTCACACCCAGAATCTTTAGAAAAATTAGCAACTGACTAGTATTTAGCTCTTGCCTGATCTTTCTCCTACAACAAAACCAAGGTCACTAATTAGCATTTAAACATAGAATATTTATTCAAGTCAGTAGTAAGCAGGTCAGATATCCCATCTCCTTAGTAAGAAAAGAGTTAATATACATCTCCTAAGGGGGGATTGCTTATTAGACCCATCTCCACTCCCACCCCCAGACTGGTGTAGTCTCAGTCTGCAAATATTCATGACATCAATAGAGAAGTCTAGGAAGGCCCAGCAGCCTGAATACATGACACCTGGAGGTTCTGTTTTTGCATCTGCCCACTACCATAACTGTGCTTGCTGGTCTCTGTCTCAACCATCACTGCCCTCTAGTGCTTCTTCCAACTGAAAGGATGTTACACACCCTGCTCTACCTTCTCTCTCTCTCTCACTGTGTTTCTCTTTCTATTTCTTTCTCTCTCTCTTTCTCTGTGGCTCTCTGTTTATCTCTCTCTCTCTCTCCCTCCCCCCATTCCCGCCACTTTTGTTTCTAAAGATAGTTCATTCGATATGGGAGGAAGGGATATATTCAGAAATGATGGTGATGTAAAATGTTTATTGAATAAATGCCTGCATGTGTGAATGAAAAGATGGCTGTAGTTTTGAAGACTGAACCCAGAATTCAAATCCTATCACTGCCACTAATTACCTCTGTGAACTTGAATAAGTTACTTAACCCCTTGACCTTCGGTGGCTTCTTCTGTACAATGAGGGGGTTGGCCTGGATGGCCTCGGAGGTCTCTTCCAGCTCTAATTTGATGATGCGATGACCCTACCCACCAAGGCCAAAGTTGGGCTAGTGCTCTGACTCCTTGCTGGGTGACATGTACCATTTTTGAAGGATGAAGGGAATTTTCCTCTCCTATTGGGAAGTGACTAAGGTTGTGCTGAAGAAGATTTGCAACTAAGAGTCAGGAGGATGGATTTGTCAAAAGGGCCGTCCAACCCTGTGGCCTTTAAGAGAAGCTAGGAGAAATGGCTTTACCTTCTTTTGGGTTTCTTTGTCTCTTTTCACCTCCCAGCAAGGAAGGTGGAAGTTTGGGATTTTTTTTTCTTCTCCTCCAGCAACACAACCATATGACTATAGGAGATGTGCTTGTCCATGCAGGCCTGAGATTGGACCTCCCTTCCCTGGATGTCTTCTTCTGCCTCTCTTTCCCATTAGCAAGCCTGAGAAATGGTTGTTTCCAGCCTTGGTAGTTATCTTATGGGTAGAGAGTGCTTGAACTCAACATTAAATCTTTGGAAGCTGGAGGAAGGAGGCTTTCCTCAACAGCATACTTCTCAGAGCAGTGACCACTGCCAGGATAACTCTTCCCATAGCTAAAGAACTAAAGAAAGCCATGCCCTGACTGACTAGCTGATCTGGACCTTCTCAGTTGCTTGGACGCTGCAGGTGGAGATGAATGCAAAATATCTGTTCTCTGGTTTCCCAGTCTTTACTTTCTAGGGAGAGAACATAAGGAGTACAAGGGACTATCAGAGATGTTTTCTGGTCTGGTTTTGTTGCTGCTGTTTTGTGTCACGTGTACTACTTGCTCTTTTGCATCTTAGGTGGGCTCTGTGCTACAGAAAGATTGAACCTAGAAGGTAAATATGCAGGCCAATTTTTCTCTAGTGCAACACTACCAATAGACTAATTGAATGTGTCTTGCTGAACCTTGCTCCCCATCAAGTTCTCCGCCACCACATTCATGTAATGTCAGTGAGCCCATATGCACCATGACTATTCTATATTCTAGCTACTACAGCAATTCTCAAACTTTCCCCTCAAGACCCCTTTACACTTCTAAAAATTATTTAGGATCCCAAAGCTGTTTAAGTGGGTTCTATCTATCCATATTTGCTGTATTAAATTAAAATTGATAAATTAAAAAATAACAATAATGAATCCATGACATGTTTATATAAATAACTTTATGAAAAATAATTCTATTTTCTAAAATGAAAAAAGAACTAGTGAGAAGAGTAGCATTATTTTACATATTTTTGCAAATCTCTTTAATGTCTGGTTTAATAGAAGACAGCTGGATTCTCATCTCTGCTTCTGCACTCAATCTGTTGCAATCTGTTGTTTT